CAATTATTTTTATTCTATGTGCAATCAGAAAAATCAGTAGTTACATATAAGAAACTTTAAAAGACCTTTAAATGATATGTCACATGACCCACTTTATATATTTTTAAATGTGTATTTATGTTTTTTATTCTATACATGTCAAAAATTTATACGTAAGGTTAGGTTTAAATTACTAAAAAAAGATGGAAAAGTTAATTTCTCTGAAACCCCCTGTATATTTGTAAGAAAAAGGTAACTAAATTGACTTATGTCAATTTTTCATTTTAATAGAATTTTAATTTATTGTTTTCTTTATAGAAAGGTATATTAAATAAAAACCAATACATCCACTTTTTCTAATAAAACAATAAATCAAAATTTTACACCTCATGTAATAAATTATATTATCTTTTATTATATGCAATATAATTTATATAACAGACATTGCCTGTTGTTTTCTGCAAGTGCCGGTGACAATGATGAGGTTAATAAAATCCTTGGAAATATATGGAAAGTATCGATTAAAATTTAAATAAACGGGGCAGCTGTTAACATCCATTGTCCCCAAATTATTATTGTTTTTGAAACGAATAAAAGCACATATCGTCTTTTATGTTTAGGAAAAAGTCGGTCATACCACTTTGTACTTGAATTTAGATATACAGTGTGACCCATTTGTTTGCGACTCACCCCTGTAAAATCTTTATTTATTGTTATTTTAACAGGATTTGTTTTAAAGAGTAGATCTTGATAAACTGTATTTTTGAAGCAAAAAACGCCATATTTTTACAAAATACAAGGCCTACTATGTCAGTTTTTAAGAGTAAATTTTTAGGAATTCATATTAGCGATTTTTTTTAACAAAATCTAAGCACGGCACTGGATTCACCACCTCTCAAAACGACCCTATACTAAATTTTATTGAAAAATTTTAAGAAAAAAATGCACAATACAAAACATGGTACTATTACTATAAGTTCAATTTTATTTCAATGTTTTTTTATGGATAACTTGACAAAATAAATTTTTGTAGTTATTATTGTACATTTTTTCCTAAAATTTTTCAATAAAATTTAGTACAGCGTCGTTTTGAGAGGTTGTGAATCCAGTGCCGTGCTTAGATTTTGTTAAAAAAAATCGCTATTAGCGATTCGCTAATATGAATTCTTAAAAATTTCCTCTTAAAAACTGACATAGTAGGCCTTGTATTCTGTACTATGATGGCGACTTTTGCTCCAAAAATACAGTTTATCAAGATCTACACTTTAAAAAAAATCCGGTTAAAATCGCACAATAAATAAAGGTTTTACAGGGGTGAGTCGCAAACAAATGGGTCACACTGTATATCATAATTTCATTTTTATGAAAAATATATTACTTATTCTTCTGAATCCATGTTATCTCTTATAAAATATTCTCCATTCAATATATAAAATATTAATATTTCTGTATATATATATTTAAATTTTTATATTTAAACTTTATTTAAATAAAAAAAAAGGTACACATACGGAATTTAAGAAAATATCGTGTAGAAAAACTGTGGAATCATAAAAAATCCTTTATCAGTCTTTTATAAGAAATTAGTTTAGTATTGCGGAAAGAGTTAAAATGATCAACCTTATTTTAAATAGTGATTGCGAAAATCGTGCAAAAATTTATTCAATGAACACCGGTGTGTAAATTGAAAATTTGTTTTGGAATTGGTGAAGTTCCAAGAAACAGGATCAGTAGCCTGGTTGGGCCCAATTTTCTTAATAACCTGACAGGAGAAACGTATTTGGAAATACTAGAAGATGTAGTTTATCCATTACTGGTAGATTTTATTGAAAACAATGAGTTTGGACCGGACAACATAATATTTGATTAAGAAAAAGTGTACTATCGCAAATTCAATTTTACGATAACGAATAAATAGAATTTTACTATTTTTCGGTATACTTAGTTAAGCAAGACCTTTTAAATAAGGTCTCACTTGCCATATTACAAGTTGACGTGTCTGCGTTTTTTTAAATCACTGCTTACTACCCGAAAACTCCTCTGTCTAGTTTTTGTTAAGTTAAACTGTATATATGTTTTGATAAAAGTTTTATTGAACACAAAGTAATTTAGGTAATTTTTGTTACTATAACTTTTTTATCGTATAAAAGTGACTATGCAGTTTTGACTAAATCAAGCATGTTTTCAATATTACAATAAGCCACTTATAAGTGGCTATATGTAGTAATAAACAAATTAATGCTTTAATCATAGCCAATAAATTATAATTAAATAACCAAGGTTGATCATACAATTATATCGTGTACATCTCACACATTAATTTGAAAGGGTAAACTTCTAAACTCAATACCGTGGTAATTGCCTTGTCGGGTTTCGGCGAAGCTGTGCAGCTGCTGCAGCTGTTTGTCGCTTGTATCCCACGGATATGCAGTGTCACTGCATCCAGAAATGCTCGGGATTACGCTAATTTGCAATGCCGCTTTGATATTAGTTGCATTTAACCTGCTATGATTAAATGCTGACTTCATTTCGCAAACCTAGTTTTGCACTAAGTAAATTTTATCAAATATAAGTGGGTTTATGTGTAAATTGGTGATAGTTTTGTACGTATGTTCAAGGTGATCCCCTATAATGACGCCCCTTTTTATCATTTTTATTTTATGGGTTCCAACATTTTTTATTTAAAAATACTTTTTTTCTACGTATAAAAAAATTGTAAAATTGATCAGTACTGAGGAGATATGCAAATTCCCCCCCACTAAACAATCCGTGGGTTATTACGATCCTAATTGTTTAAAAATATATTCTAAAACTCATTAAATAAATTAAGATTTAAATCTGGCGGGAAGCAGGAAACTAAGCATTTTTAAGGTTGGTAATGTAATTGACGTAGTGTGCCGAAAGATAAAAGGAAGGGGGAAAGTAGCCATTAATGAAGACAGAAAGGGAGATCGGGATTCTAGAAAAACGGGTGTAACAAACAACAGGTGAAAAAATGTGTGAAACGGTCTAAATTTGTAGGTTTGTATATTTTAATAAGTAAACAATTGTAGCATAAATATTTCCGAACAATTTCGTATAATTAGTTTTCACAAATGCCTTGTGTAAAGATAAATATTTGAACAATCTTGAATTACGTTAGATTCTAAATTATAAATATTATGTGCTTGATTTTATTTAATTAAGAAGTCAGGGTTGTACTTGATTTTATTTAATTATTTTAACGAATATTTACTAAAGGGAATTTACCAAAAACGCTGCGTAAATTAAGTGTAGTTGATATCGACTTTCTTGAATATGGGATTTATTAAATTATACTCGCAGATTCACATTTATGTCCCGTAATTAGTTAAGTAATTTTTACCAGTCATATTTAATTATTTGGTATTACATTTGGAGTGAGTGGCAACAGTAGACCACTGGCCGTGGTCTCCTGACATAGAAAGCCCATTTTGAATTACTATCCTGTAAATTTTAAGAGGTCTGGTTTCATCTGACTGCGCAGACGCAGATATTGTCTTTGTTATTTGTGTCATTAATATTACCTATTATTTTATGGTAATTATTAATTTATTAAAGCTTGCCGATAGATATAATAGATAATTGCGAACCCTCAATTGGAACGATCTCAAAGCCGATTATTTATTTACTCCTTATTCTAACAGTTGGTTGTGTATGAACTCTAATAAATAATACATGAATAATCATGTTACTGTAAACTTAAATTCGACATTTTATAATTATAAAAACTTTGTACGGAATCTCCTTCTCAATATACTTTTACCCAACAAACAAACAAACTAAAAATGAAAACGAGGAGCATCAACGAGAGCAAAGAACTCTCGTATGATGTATTATTTATCTAATCGTATATATTTATTTATTTATTTATGTGGGTTGTGGTCGCAGTGTGATTTTAAGGGTTTGTAGGATGTCCCCTTCTTTTAGAGTTCTCTTTCAGAAAATAAGTTGAATGTAATTTGGGTTTGGGTTACTGTTGTTGCTTTATCTAAATAAATTACATTATTTACTGTATTTATTATGTTTCTTTTAATACTTTCCCCATGAACACCACCTTCAAAGTACCTTGGGTTACTAAATTAATGAGCTTTATTACCGTAAGTATTTATTTTATTTATTTGTCGTAATTTAATAATTTGCCGTGGGGTTATATTTCATTTTATTACTCGGGGTGTAAGTTTTACAGATTCTTTGCTGGGGGGTTTGTACTCTTACAGTATACAGGGGAAAATATTTAAATTATTTTTAAGATAATAAGTTAAAATAGTTTCTTTCTCCGTCTGAGTACAAAAGTAATGCTTACTTAACAAGACATATTGACATAATCAGGCCAATTCACTAACATGAGTCGTTAACGTTAACCAATAGAATCAGTGGTTATAGGGTAATCCGGCCAATCGGGCCCTTTAAATATAACGATAACCACTGATTCTAGTGGTACTTATGTTAGTGGCCTGAATGTCACTATAGTTATTAACTTTCAATTTTGTTATCCTGAGGCTTCATGATTTGTAAAAGTTTAAAAAAATATTTGATAATAATTTCAGAAATGGTTGAATTTAGGTATATGGAACGTTATATGCTTAGAATTTTACAAGGAATCAAAAAATAAATTTATATACAAGGTGACCCATTGAGAGAAAAGTAACTTTTTGGTTTTTTTTTGTTTTTTTATACAAAGAAAAAAGTATTTTTCAGTACCTACATAACCACACTTTTTTTGGACACTTAAAATAAAAAAGATATAGGGGGGCGACATAATAAGGGATCACCCTGCACATATCTAAAGTAAAGTCAAATTTTTGTTGAAAATGTAAATTTTTTGTTTCCAAAGATGTTGGTGAAAATATTTCCTTAATTGAAATTGGAATCATAAATATTTGTAAATTTGATTTTCTATGTTTTAAAGTTATATCCATTTTTTTAAGTACTATTTTATGGTTTTTCATACTTTTAATTTTGCTTTTAAATTTAACAGTTATACATAGGAATTCTCTTACCTTAGTTTTTTTAGTTTAGCAGAAACATCTGAAACAAAAATAAACAATTAACATCCTAACTAAAAAAAATAAATGTAAAAGACGCGCACCGCTTAGGGCTTAAGCTTATCTATCTGTTCTACGTTTTGGCAACGTTAATTAAAGTGTCCTATTGATTTTCTAGTCACTTTGGGTTAATAATTAATAAGGCGAAGCTTCAAAATAATGATAATGTTTTAATTTTGGCTAAAAGGAAAGCCATCCATCTATTTTAAGAGTTTTCATGGAATAGCAAAGTTTTGCAATTACAATTTTTATATTTAAGACAAAATTTAATTTTTGGTTGGATTTTTAAAAATAAAAAACACGTTATTAAATATAAATTTTATCTCAATGTTAAAAATAATAATGTGGCGTTGGATACAAATAATTATAAAAAAAAATGTTCTGTTACGATCTTCCGGAACGAGCTGTTTTGTCTTTTTTATTAAGATTAAACGAGTGCAGATAAGAGGGGGGCCGCTGAGCAGTAAACAGAAAAGGAAAAGTCAGACGGTCGAGCGGCATAAACAATTCAGTAATGGAAAGATATATGGGCACGGCTCAAATTAATTTATTCGTCGTAAGACCACGCTAGTCCAAGATCGCTATAGCGATCTTGGACTAGCGAAAACCTATAGGTTTTCCTTGATGCCGGCGCCTTTAAGGGCGATTTTCCCATGCGTTTTATCGCGCGAAATGTTTTTCAGTACTTGCTTACCCCATCAAGAAACGACACAATTAAGGCCCACAAATACTTGTACAAACCCTACAATAATTTACGGAAATATTAATCCATGCTAAATTATACCTATATATTATAGTAAAATAATTTTTATCCGAAATCGGCAGTAAAGTAGTCAACAATCCTTTAATTTAATACGAGTATTGTATGCAACCCATTATACATTTTAAGATGTGTCTACTGCTCCTCAGCAGCAACTAAATAACATTTAAAAAAAAGCACCGTCGCGGAGGTCGATTGGACTTATTCGAAAAATGTTGTTAAATAAAAATATTAAGTTTAATAAAAAATTGCCGAGTCGGGCAAATATATAATAATTTCCACATTCGTGATAAAAAATACGACTTTACTGCCTTGCTACATAAATAACTATTCTTTAAGTTGCAAAAATGGCGAATGCGCCGGGATAACACAACAATTTTTTATCACAGAATTTAAAAACCTTTATTTAGTCAAAATCTGCCGTGTATAACGCCCTTTTGCGAACTTAATTACGCAATCGCTGCTCACTTGTAGATCTCATTTTTTAACATTTTTAGTTTACTAAAAAAACATTTAAAAAAACATCGTTAAAAAAGAGAAAAAAAATAGCATAAAAACTTTACAAAAGCTTCCATACACGCATAATTTTTAATTATAAATTTAATAAGATCATTATCAGGTTCCTTCTTTAAGGTCAGGTTTCATTAAAATCATTTTTTTTTCATACCTTGTTCGAAAGTACTTACTTTCGTACCTAATAGCAGGGACGAAAGTTTAACATTTACTCTCTGTGCTATTAGGGACGAAAATTTCTTCCCTATATTTGTTTTAACAATTTTACATAAGCAAGAGTTTTTGTACCTTGTCTAGCCCTATTTGATTTTTTAGGAAAAAGATTTACTCCGCGCTTGTACAACCATTCCTTGAACAAACTAAATTCCTTTTCATATCGTTTTTTCGATTTTTGAGGAAAAAGATTAATTGCAACTATTCTTGCCTCTTCAGCAAGATCTTGCGGCAGGTCTACTTCGCTAGAACTCATTTTCAAAACGTAGGAAGAATTTTAAATTTATGATAAATAACCTGACCGCTTATAACTGTTATGTTTGTATTACCAAAAATACCATAGCAACAAAGCGTTGTCAACAACGTTGGCGACGCAACACCTACTTAATATTTTGTCATAATATTATGACCCCATACCGGGTTAGTAAAAGGAACCAGAACGCTTAAAAACCGTTAAAAAGTAACAGAAAAAACAATATACATACCTCAGGAAAAAAAAATGCGTTTCCTCCCTTGAATATTTAATGCCCTCTGCTTTGCGTCGGGCATCAAACTATTCGCGGGAGGAAAAGCACTATTTTCCTCCCATGGTATGTAAATAGCACAGACCTACAAACAAAATGGACTGGCCATTCCCCTTCAAAATACACAGTTTTGTTGCCAAGAACTATTTAGATTAGGGGTAAAGGAGTAAGGGGTATTTATAAACAAGTTCCCACACCAGTGGCGTTCTGTTTTTAGGGATAAATAAAAATATTAAATTGTACATTTTTTATTGTGTTTTGCAATCCTATGTAAAAATTATATTTAATATATATAAATATATAGGTATAACAAAATACTAACCTTGTCAGTTAGTGTTCCAGATGATGTAGAATCTGGCTCTTTAAATCTAAAATTTAAGTGAATTCATTTATTTATTCCGTTTCTACGCCCCTGGTAGGGTTTGTTTTGTAAAATAAACTAACCTATGAAAAGAAAGTTTTAAATTCTTGGATCCAAGTCTTTTACAAACGTAGCACTGCTTCATCATTTTTATATCACTCACTATTGGTATTTTTCACTATAAAATCAAATAAAAAATATTAAATGTTGCGGATTCCAAGTTTCTTTTACGTAAAATATATAAACTTCAAAGCAAATAAAGTCAGATTTGACAACTGAGGGAAAATATTTATTTTTGTTCCTGGCCACTCTTTTCAATGTAAATAAACCGGTCCATCTTGTTTGTAGGTCTGTGGTAAATAGCTATTTTTAAGTTGCAAAAATGGCGGATGCGCCGGAATAACAACAATTTTTTATCACAGATTTTAAAAAATTATATTTAGTCAAAATCTGCGAACTTAAGTTAATCACGCAATCGCTGCTCACTTGTGGATCTCATACGAAAATAGTATATTACACTACAAGGGCAGAAAGTGTGAGATTCCTGTACTGCGCGCCATGATGCCCGAGGCGAAGCCGAGGGCATCATGGCGCGCAGTTCAGGGCTCTCACACTTTCTGCCCGTGTAGTGTATACTATTTTTCTTACTACCTCGGCCGAAAATACAACCCGGCCGAAAATACGGGAAAAAATTAAATGTGTATTTATGTACCTATCTCCATTTGAAGAGATTGATAAATAAATAACAGTAGGCCGTGAATTCAGAGGTGCCAATACAGTAAAAATAAAAGGTTGTATTTTAATTAACAAATTACTACTTTATAACAAATAAAAGTACCATTAAACACTTAAAACAACATAACAAGTAAAAAAGTAAAAACATAAATTGTTTATTTGTTGTTATAATTGCAAAATTATGGTTTAAAACTATATATTTTTGTGTTTCTCATGTTGGCAGTACGAAATTTGAATGTTAAGCACACGACTAAAAAATTTTTACTCCCGCTATTAGAGTGTGCGCGTATAGCTTGACCAATGCAAGAAACGTAAACTTTCTTCCGTGGAATCGGGGACGAAACAACGTATTTTGAGTCGAGGTAGTAAGAAATAGTATATTACACTACAAGGGCAGAAAGTGTGAGATTCCTGCACTGCGCGCCATGATGCCCGAGGCGAAGCCGAGGGCATCATGAAGCGCAGTTCAGGGCTCTCACACTTTCTGCCCGTGTAGTGTATACTATTTTTCTTGCTACCCCGCAGAAAATACGGGAAAAAATTAAATGTATATAAAAAAACTTGTGTCAAAATTAAAATCTGACGTTTAATTTAATTCTGACGTTTACATTCAAAATCAATCAAACTGTAGCGTTGTCATGGTAATTCAGCGGTGCCAATACAGTAAAAATATAAGGTTGTATTTTAATTAACAAATTACTACTTTATAACAAATAAAAGTACCATTAAACACTTAAAACAACATAAAAAGTAAAAAAGTAAAAACATAAATTGTTTATTTGTTGTTATAATTGCAAAATTATGGTTTAAAACTGTCATATTTTTGTGTTTCTCATGTTGGCAGTACGAAATTTGAATGTTAAGCACACGACTAATAGTATATTACACTACAAGGGCAGAAAGTGTGAGATTCCTGCACTGCGCGCCATGATGCCCGAGGCGAAGCCGAGGGCATCATGGCGCGCAGTTCAGGACTCTCACACTTTCTGCCCGTGTAGTGTATACTATTTTTCTTACTACCCTGCAGAAAATACGGGAAAAAATTAAATGTATATAAAAAAATTTGTGTCAAAATTAAAATCTGACGTTTAATTTAATTCTGACGTTTACATTCAAAATCAATCAAACTGTAGCGTTGTCATGGTAATTCAGCGGTGCCAATACAGTAAAAATAAAAGGTTGTATTTTAATTAACAAATTACTACTTTATAACAAATAAAAGTACCATTAAATACTTAAAACAACATAAAAAGTAAAAAAGTAAAAACATAAATTGTTTATTTGTTGTTATAATTGCAAAATTATGGTTTAAAACTGTCATATTTTTGTGTTTCTCATGTTGGCAGTACGAAATTTAAATGTTAAGCACGCGACTAAAAAATTTTTACTCCCGCTATTAGAGTGTGCGCGTATAGCTTGACCAATGCAAGAAACGTAAACTTTCTGCCGTGAAATCGGGGACGAAACAACGTATTTTGAGTCGAGGTAGTAAGAAAAAAATTTTTACTCCCGCTATTAGAGTGTGCGCGTATAGCTTGACCAATGCAAGAAACGTAAACTTTCTGCCGTGAAATCGGGGACGAAACAACGTATTTTGAGTCGAGGTAGTAAGAAAAATATATAGATATTTCCTAGTCAATTCTTCACATCTTTGTAAAAAAAAATCTTTAACTTATGAATAAATACGGCGATTTCAAAAAATCAAAAGTTTCTTTTACAATGATAATAACAGATAATTTTTAAGAAATCTATATACCGTATTTTCACGGTATACATTGCATACGAACTCCTTGAAAGAGAGTGGAGATATTTTGCCCCCTTCGACCAATGTAGCATTCCAGGTTAAAGACACGATTATGAAAATTACGATTTGCATA